AAGCCGGTGTGAACTTCAGCGCGACTGCGGCTGGAGGGGCGGGGGCTGAAGCGGCGCTTGATCCACCAGCCGGAACTGCGGGCTCTATTGGCGCGCTACAGCCAACATCATCCAAAGGACCCGGATCTTGGGGCGCAGTTGAGCGAGGGTGAATTTCATGAGCTGTTGGTAGGTGAAACAAATCATTCTTGTGACCAAAAACCCTTTGTAAGGTCTGCTGAAATCAGCTAAAGTCAAACTAGATTGGTCGGACATGTCTTTAAAAGTTGTTCAGACCCTCCAAATTTGGAAGCGATTGCGCGCAAACTGCGCACGCTATTAGGTGCCTCTCTGCTCCATATGGGCGAAATGTCTTCTTCCAATGCTTAGCCGAGGTTCTTCTGGTGGGACTTAAAATGGTTGACACGAGGTCTTCTAGCTCTGTGGAACTCAATTTTAATGCGCCTTTCAGATGATGCCCACTTCATCATTTCCACTCTTTAGGGATGTGACTTCTTGACTTCTTCCTAGGTTGCGCTGGATCGCGATGACGTGGAGCTCGTCTCCGAGTTTGTCCCCGACCCCGACAATGCGGATGCCGAGCCCGTCCTGCTTCACTGGAGGAGGCGCCTTCTGCAGGAGCAGATCGGGCAGATCCGATCGAAGAACCGAGCTGCACGGCTGCTGTTGGAGGGGATCCGGGGGGAGACCCTTGCTGCGCTGGGCGCCAACCCCCGTGGAGTGCGTTCGCCGCGAAAGTGGTGGGCGGAACTGCTCTACGCTTTGGGGACCCCCCAGTCTGTTGCAGACGACAGCAACCTGATCCAGCATGGGGCGGCGCTGGCTGTTGTTCGGACGATCCTTCTGGGGGGTTCAGCAGACGAGGGGGGAAAGGCCGTGCTGGCTGAGCATGCGCCCATCCTTCGTCGGTTGCTGGATAGCTACGATGGAGTGTTTCCGGCCTTCTTTCTGCCCACGCTCCACCACTTGTACCGGCTGACGCTGTTTGGACGCGGGGCAGTCGGGCTGGGGGTTGGTCGAGCCGGGTGGGCGCTGTCTGCTATCGAGGGGTTGGATGCCTGCGTTTGGCTGCTGCAGTTGCGACGGGACGTCCAAGGGTCTTGGAACGAGGAGCGAGACGAGAGCTACACCTTCTGGAGAGAGAGAGCGAACAGACTGCTTCCCGGTGTCGAGGCTTTGCAGCCACCGAACCCCTCCGTGTATGCTCTTAACCAAGCCGAGCGCGAGCTGCTGCACAATCGGCTAGGGCTCTCCGGAAACGGACGGCTTCTCGAAGCGCTCCCCAAAGACCATCCGTACTGCCGGGAGCAGAACGTGCTCGGCTGTTATCCCCTCCCCGGTTGGGAGCAGAAACGGCCTCTGCCCCAGTACAAGCCGTTTGAGGACGAGCTCGGTCGGGCAGTCGAGAGCAGCGAGGAGCACCGCTGTAAGAGCAGTCTCACCGTGGCTGAGTATGATACAAAGGTTGCGAAAGCCAAAAGTCAAAAGGCGGGCAAGCGGCTGCAGAAGCATACGGCGAAGGGGGGATTTGTGTTCGTGTGCCCCCACAGAGTGATCTACGGCTTCCACGCCATGCTTCGGGGAGAGTCTCCTCGTGATCCGTTCGCGGTGTTGTACACCCGCCTCCATCGGCACAATCTGCCTTCCGTTTTGTTCTACGACAACGCCTGCAAGCTGCGCGCGTACAGTATGCGCCGAGAGCCTGGGTTCTTTGCTGACGTCCGGTTCCTCTGTGACCGGTGAGTGTGTAAACAGCAAATACATCCATGCTTTGCGAATCGATCGTTAAACTAGGACAAGATAATCAACCTTTATGGAGTCAGAACTTGCGACAGTCGAGGCACGTGCCTAAGCTCGGGAACAGAACAAGTCGCCGTCCACGTTTTGTCGTTTTAATATATGCATATCATCTGCAAAACCTGAACGGCAAAAGTTCTCAAGGCCCTAGATTCTTTATTCTCAGAACTTGCGACAGTCGAGGCACTAAAAACTGGACGACAAAGATTTCAAGGCTTCGTTACAACGAAAATAGTTTGGCCCGTCATCTAGAGTTACTTCTTTTGTTTGATGGCTCATCCTAATGTCTGCTTAAAGCAGCCGCCTCTTAAAAGATGTATGCGTGCATATCAAATGCTTTGATATTGCACATGCAGGTTCCACTTCCAGAAGACTGGCCCAGAGGCGCACAATTGCGGTCCTCAGTACAATCCAGACTACTACGATGCTGTGCGCTGGGTTAACACCTCTGCGGTGGAGAGTGTCAACTCCTTCTTGATCAAATTCAAGGTGCTAGGTTGGTTTAGCGGTCTCAATGCGTTCATGATCATTCTAGCTAACGTAGTGAGCGGGCGCAACGCAGAGTTGACACGGGTTGATGACCAAAAGGTCAGAATTGCTGGGAGTGTAGTTCGTTGGTTGCCGGCAGTTCGCGCAGCTCTCTTGTACAGGTGATAGATAATGTGTTGATTGATAGCTGTTGAGCTTTCCCGCAAGCGTGTGGGATGCTCTCGTTCATGTGGGGGCGAAGAGAAGGGAGTCAAGACACTTACTGGCACCTTTTGAATATACTTGTATAATAATATTCAACAGCATGGTTCCACTACACACTCTCTGGCACCATGGCACTTGGTTTTTGAGTCATGGGTATCCATTTTGAAAAACCTCACATGAGAAAATAGCGAGCGATCAAGGTGTCCCAGGCGTCATCATGAATCTAGTGATTCGTCAGGAAAGTATCTTCTTTTCATAGGGTAGACAGTAAAGCACGTTGCTATGGCTGAGTCGGTTTCCGACACGAGAGAACCTGATTCCAACCATCACCGGCGGCTGTATGAAGCGCGCTATCGGCACTCGAATCTTGACAAATACAAAGATTGGTCTCGTAAACACTATAGCAAAGCTAAAGTGGAGATATGTTTACGTAAAGCTTTAATACGATATTGCGAAGGCAAGAGGCTTCGACCCTCCACCATGGCAAAGCTTGCAGTTGCCGGGTATGTGCAAGAAGGCAACTCACATTTGAGCCCAATGAACGAGATTTGTTAGTGGACTTGTTAACGATGCACTGATCCATTGCATGTTCCATCGGACCGGCCGTTGCTTTTTATGCGTTTGCATGGAGGTCAATTTCTCTCAAAATCAAGATTTCAACGCGTCCAGATTCCGGGAATTATTTTCCTTAGTACTTATCATAGAGGGTTGCCCAGCCCTAAAATGAATCCGGACCTCAATGAAAGCATCTCATCGTACTGGAGTCTTCATCTCCTGCCGGTTACGCTCAAGCTTACATGGAACAAAGTGGATAGAAAGAAAGACGCAAGGAGCTTTGGATGCTCATACTCAAGCATCGTGGATGAGATTTCTTGGGGGTTGCACGAAGACACAATTCGCAACTGTTCCGACAAGAATGCCCTTGCCCTTCTATTCGGACGATCGGGCCCAAACAGCATTATTATGATTGATATCGACTTGCCCAAAATGAATGAAAGCAAACTCTTTGCTAATGGTCTTGATGTCTGGAAACGCTTGACAAAAGCGCACGGCGAACCTCTT